ATGCAAGTCAATCTGCCTGAGCTCAGTGCTCAGTTTTCCCATCAGTACAAACGGGACTAGAGCCACGCACGGTAGTGCAGGCACAATCCCTGCTACTCTGTTGAGGCAGGGAGCTCATGAGTTCAAGGCCAGCCTCAGCAACTTAGTGAGATGATGTCTCAAAATAAAAGGCAGAAGGGAAGTCTAGCGCGCATAGCCCGGTGGTAGAGAGTTTGTGGAGCATGTCGGGGGACCTGAGTTCAACACCCAGTGGTATGAAGCTCCGAGGTATTAATTAAAATTGCTGGCCCCAGGCGTTGGCTGGACTGTGCAGTAGAGGGGCTGGCATGTACCGCACCCCCGGGGTGGGTGGTGGCTGGGAGCTGTGATTTGTGCCCTGGTATCTGCATCTTCCTAAGGAAGCAGGGCAGCAGGGTCAGGGCCAGGGACCGGCAGGTGAGTTTCCGCTTCATTCTCTATAAAATGGAAGGCTACAGATAAAGCCAGTGTGCTGGAATGCATGGAATTTTTGGAACCTTCCCAGTAGGAATGTGTGACAGACAGGAACCTGTTAGGGGTGGTGAGACTCAAGCCCGGTTGACCTCGCCAGCACCCCACGCATCAAAGCCTGGCCTGACCCAAGGCTGCTTTGTCCCAGGCACTGCTATAGCCTTTACCCATCCAACACTGTGGCCCTTTGTTCCTGCCAAGTGGTGGAAGCAGCAACCATGGCCTCTATCTAGGATGTGCTCTGTGCCAGGTGTTTTTCACACATCATCTCATTGAACTAATGCTATGAATCCTGTGAGGTCAGAGGTCATCCAGGTAGCTGAGTTGGAGGCTGAAGAGACAGCTCAAGTGGTCAGGGCATTGCTGAGTAAACACGAGGACCTGGTTCTCCAGAACCCATATGAAAAGCCGGGCGCTGCGGCGCACACCCAGAACCCCCGCTCTGCAGAGGCAGAGGCAGGGGATCCCTGAGCCTTGCTGGCCAGTAGGTGTGCTCCAGATTCAGAGAGAGACTCTGGCTCAAAAAAAAAAGGTGGAGCCTGGTGGTGGTGGTGGTGGTGGTGCACTCCTGGGGAGGTGGCAGTCAGGAGGCAGAGGCAGGAGGATCTCCGTGAGTTCAAGGCCAGCCTGGTCTACAGAGTGAGTTCCAGGTCAGCCAGGGCTACATAGTGAGACCCTGTCTTGAAAATAAATTAATTAATTTAAAAAAATAAATATATAAAATAAGGCAGAACAATTGAAGAAGATACTGGCTGTTGACCTCTGGCCACATGTACACACACACACACACACACACACACACACACACACACACACACACACGCACACACACACACACGCACACGGTAAAGCAAAGTAAAGTAACTGGGCCGGGATTTGACTCTCAAGTCATTTAGCTCCCTAGCTCATGGCAGCAGGGCCCATGTATACCTTGTCTTTGAGAGGCACATCACTGGCCAGCTGGGATTCCAGGAAGTGGCCAGCTCAGCAGGTACGAAGGGTGCCCAGCTTGACTCTGATGTTGGGACACTGGCTTGTGCCGCCTGCTCTCCAGTAGACTCTCGTCGTCAAGCTTTTGCCGCTGGGTAGGTCTCACCTTTGGGACAGCTGAGGCATTGAGAGGGAATGCAAAGGCTGAGGAACGAGATTTGTCAGGGAGGGGGTTGGGGGAGGTGCCTGCACGTGGTTGGATTCTGACAGGGGTGCCCCTGGAAGGATCTGACCCTGGATATATCAACTAGGAGTGTCTCAGAGGGGTCCTTTGCCCAGAGATGAAACGCAAGCAAGGGAGATAACGTTTAAGGCAAATGCCCCCCCCCCCGGGCATGGGGGTGGACACCTGCCATGGCCGCCCTGGGCATGGGGGTGGTCACCTGCCATGGCAGCCCTGGGCATGGGGGTGGACACCTGCCATGGCCGCCCTGGGCATGGGGGGTGGTCACCTGCCATGGCCGTCCTGGGCATGGGGGTGGTCACCTGCCATGGCCGCCCTGGGCATGGGGGTGGTCACCTGCCATGGCAGCCCTGAGCACGGGGGTGGACACCTGCCATGGCAGCCCTGGGCATGGGGGTGGACACCTGCCATGGCCGCCCTGGGCATGGGGGGTGGTCACCTGCCATGGCCGCCCTGGGCATGGGGGTGGTCACCTGCCATGGCCGCCCTGGGCATGGGGTGGACACCTGCCATGGCAGCCCTGGGCATGGGGGCGGTCACCTGTCATGGAAGCCCCACGGGGATGAAGGCAGGAGGCTCAGGAGTTCAATGTCATCCTGGCTTACATAGTGAGTTTGAGGCCAGCCTGGGCTACATGAGACACTATCTCAAAGAACACCCCCCCAAAAAAATAAACAAACCCTAAATGTTAACTAAAGGTAAAATTTTTAGATGCACCTGAGAGATGGATGGGAAGGCCCAGAGTACACTGGACACTGTCACACTGCTAGCATCTCAGTCTTCCTTCCAGGGCCTCTTGAGTCATTGTCTAAGTGTGAGTCTCCACAGAAGCTGACAGCAGAGGGCAACGGGGCCACACCCCGACTCACTGTGCGCAGTGGTGGAATCCCTGCTTCTGCTCCCACAGAATCCGCTGAAGGGCAAGGGATGGACTCCACACAGATCGGGGGGTGGGGTGGGGTGTGGTGGGGGGAGTGGACTAGAGATGATGGGGTGCAGTGAGGGAGTGGACTAGAGATGATGGGGTGCGGTGAGGGAGCGGGCTAGAGATGATGGGGTGCGGTGGGGGGAGTGGACTAGAGATGATGGGGTGCGGTAAGGGGAGCGGACTAGAGATGATGGGGTGCAGTGAGGGAGTGGACTAGAGATGATGGGGTGCGGTGAGGGAGCAGACTAGAGATGATGGGGTGCAGTGGGGGGAGTGGACTAGAAGCTGATAGGGTATGGGGGGGAGTGGACTAGAGTGGGGTGCACTGGGGTGGGCAGAGAGCAGATGTATGGGAGAAGCTCCCTGGGTTACAGAGGAGCAGAGAGGGTGATCGGAGGCATGGAAAGAGAAGGAAACCGAGGTAAAACATCTGGCCTTCCGGAGGATGGAGTGGCTGGGAAGGGCATGCCATCATTGAGCCTTCTGCCCAAAACTCAGGAGGAACAGCGCCATCCAGGGGGTCCGGGAACCCACGGGGAACTGTGGAGAAGGCCCCAGAAAACAGTCAAGGTCCTGGAGAGTCCTCATGACCACCTTAGCTGTGGGGTAGGAGTGGGCTGGCAGTACCCACGCCCCCAGAGACACAGAGGGCGCACAGTTAGTATCCAAAGAACGCAGAGGGGAAGGCAAGCGAGGCAGACAGAATTCTCTCCCCACCTTGGGGCTCCTCAGCTCTCTCCAGTTCCCCCAGGCACTGTCTGGATACCTCCGATTCTCTCTCTCTCCCCCCCCCCCACTCTTGTTTGGGGCAAAGAGAGTGACAAGTTTGAACTTGTCCTCCAGCTCACACATAATTGGTGGCAGCAGGCAAGGCTGCTCCGGAGGGAGGGAGGGGTTTCCAGAGGAATGAAGGAGGGAGGGATCCCGAGTGACAGGGCTGGGAGGGACCTTGCAGGGGGATCATCTGACCAACCTTTCTGTGGCCTCCACACCATTCCCATGACCCGTGTGTTCACCTCCCCCGTGCCATCTCTCACACTATACGAGGGGCCTGGAGGAGCCCTCTTCCCAGCTTCCCAAGGGCCGTGTCCCCTTTGCATCACCTAGCCAATGAACCCACCCTCATTTCCTAGCCGAGGAAACCCAGGCCAGTTGGGATGGGACTGGAAGCCAAGAGGAATCTGTCTCAGGACAGCAGGACGGGACATTCACGGCCTCTGTCTGTGTTCATTCACTTACTCTTCCGTTTAATCCTCGCTAAAGGAGAGGCTCCGCTCTTCCCCAGGGTAGGAAGGAGTCTGCCGACAGAGGCCACCTCCACCCCCGCTGATGCAGGCTGCCAATGTCAAGGGTTTGAGAACTGAGTCATCTTTAGGGAGACCTTGGTCATTGCCCAGTTCTTCTGGGTACCCTGGGATGATAGTTTCTGTCCTGCACAAAACTGGCTCTGGAGCAGGACTCTGAGGCCTGGTACAACTGGCTCAGAGCAATTGAAGGGGGCTGGGGGACAGTGTCCAGGCCGGGGAGACTTGGTCCTCCAGCAGTGTGTATCTATTTTAAACCTATGCTCTGCTGCCTGTGAGGTTAGCCGTAGAAGCCGGCTTGGAGATAGTGTACAGAGCCTTCTGTGTGTCCGAAAGTGATCGTGGGTTAGCCTCTGCCAGTGTGTTGAGCACTAGACAGCGCATATAGGAGCCAGGTCAGCGGGTTACCTCCAACGCCCACAGAGCCTGCCCTGGAGCCGGGCAGTTTTAGCCAAGGGACTCAGATCTGAGAATGAGGATTGTGCCCAGAGTGTGGGAGTGAGTTAGGGGTAAAAGTTCGGAGGACGTTACTTGGCCCGGAGTGCGAGCCCATCTCTGTGTTCCGAGGTGCAGCCCTTCCAGTCTCCCCGACACCTCCCGCGCTCTTTGTCTCCCCGCCGAGGTGCGCATGCAGACCTGCTCCGCTCGGCTCTCCTGGGGTGCGAGCGCGGGGGGCGCACCCTCGACTCCCCCGCTAGCTCCCCACCGGGAGAGCGGACGAGCCGGAGCCCCGGTGCTGTTTGGTCTGGAGCGGAGCGGGGGCTTGCATTGATCCATTGATTGTGCGCGGTCTGCGCCTGACCTCCCTGCTCCCGGGGAAGCCGTCTCCATGGAGACCGGGCCCGCTCCCCCAGCGCCGGATTGTAAATTCCTGCAGGCAGCGGCCCGGCAGCCTGGGGAGGGGGCCGCGCGCCCGGGCGCGCAGGGGGAGCGGCCGCCACGCCGAGGCCCCCTTTGAAAGAAAAAAAAAAAAAGGGCACGAAAAAGGAGGTGGAGGAGGAGGAGGAGGAGGACGGAGAAGAGAAGCAGGAGGGGCAGTGGGAAGGGGAGGAGGAAAAAAAACGAAAAGGAGCAAGGAGAGGAGGAGAAAGAGGAGGAGGAGGAGGAGAAAAGCGAAGAAAAACAGACGGAGCCCGGGAGACCAGAAAGCAAGGGAGGAAGAAAGAGGCAGAAAGGGCGTGTTTAGGCGCTACGTCTCCCCTCCCCTTTCTCAGGTCCCAGCTCCGGCTCTGCGCGCTCGCTCTCCGGCTACAGCTCCCCGCGGGCGAAGCTGGGCGTCGGGTGCGATAGCCCGGGCCGCCCCTCGGGCCGCCGCCCCGCGCCTGGCCGCGCTCCCCACCGCGCAGCCCGGAGCCCCCGCGGGGCGCCTTCCCGTCCCCTCCCCCTCCGCCTCGCGCCCTCCCCGGGGCTGCGACACCCCCGCGGCCCCGCCGCGCGGAGCTCCAGGCCATGGGCTCGGGGCGCGTCCCCGGGTTCTGCCTGCTCGTCCTGCTGGTCCACGCGCGCGCCGCCCAGCATGGCAAAGCTGCGCAAGGTAAGGGAGGCGCGGCGCGGGGCTGCGGGGCTGCGGGGCGGCGGGACGGCGGGGCGGCGGGACGGCGGGACGGTCGGGCCCGGGCCAGGGCAGGTGCCTGGAAGTGCGTGGCTGTCAGGATCCGGCCCTGTGCCCCGGACTCCCCGGCCAGGGCCAGACCTCGGGGCGCTGCGCGCGGGGCGAAGCGCTCGGAGGAGCCTGGGGGCGGCCGGCAGAAGGGAGCATGCACTTCTGCCGGCTTCCCTGCCACCTCTGGCATCTTCCGCCGAGGTCAGAGAATCTTCTCCCCGACATCGCCAGGGTCTTGAGACGGAGGGAAGAAAGTTTTCAGCCGTGCCGCACACTTCGTACCCTCATCCCCTCCCCGCACGCAGTCAGGCCGAAATTTCTAAGTTGCTGTCTTATCAAGTCTAAAGATGTTAAAGAAAAACAGGCTCTTTCGCGGTGAAACCGGCCGCCTGTCACGGGATGGTAGGGGGTAGGAGGAGAAAATGCCTGTGACTGGCTTCTGGCACGCACGTTGCGTTTCTGCCTTTCGGGGGGGAAATCTCTTTCGTCTCGCATGGCTTTCATTTCTTATCATAATATTTATTTATTAAGGCCTGGGGTTTCCAATTCCATTTAAATCCAGGTCAGAATTGCATTAAAATAACAAAGTAAAATTCCAGGCTGGGAGCTCTGACAGATCCCTCTAGGAATTAGAGAGGCTGGGAGGCCCTCCTGCCCCGGTCCCTGACCCCGAGCTCACTGCCCAGCCAGTCCCAAGGCTGCGCTGGCAGAAACCAGGCTGGTGTCCCACAGTTCTCTGGGGACAGCCTCCCCTCCCCCATTGACCTGCTGCACCCCTCCCCCCACGTTGTCCTCACCCAAAAGAGATTTATATGGACAAAAAGAAAATTCCTCTTAGCAAGATTTTGCCCGGGAGATAGATTCTGCCTATTGTCCCAGGAGCTCCTCCTGAAGCCAGCCAGGGATGAGGAGGTGTCTGAGCCTGAGGAAAGTTGAACTTGGGAGTTGAGGAAGTCTGAGTGTCTGGCAGTCAGGTCACCGTGTGTGCAGGGGCCTGAGCCCTGGAGTCCTAAGCTGTTGTGTGCCGCCAGCTTTCACTGTGTTCCTGGAAGGTGCTAAGTCGACACCACCCGCCTCCCCCAAAACACAGTCTCTTCCCTTGCTCCGTCCAACCTGTCCATTACCATAACTAAACACTGGAGATCCTCAGCTGTCAAGTACCGGACCCCACCCCACCCCACCCCACCCCACCCCACCCTCCTTCCTGCCCCGAACGGCTTCTTCTGCAGCCTTGGTTCCAGACAGCCGGCTGCCTGGAACGGCCCCTCTTCCCACTGTGGATTTGCTTGTGTGTTTTCGTAAACAAAGCTGGCTTTTGTAGTACACGCCGACTTACTCAGAACATGGAATTAGCTAGGGAGTTTAGTCTGAGGAAGGAACAGATTTCGGGCAGTAATCTACAGACAAGATAAGGGCCTCTTTTAAGTTGGAGCCAGTGTCTGCAGGGGCAGGGTGGGGTGGGGGCAAGAGGAGAAGCAGCCTATTAAAGGGGCTCCAGGTGCAGCTGGAGACCCCTAAAAGGGACAGGTGTGGGGGAAACCAAGGATCTCAAGGGATAGAAGGAGTTGGGATACCTCCAGGGTACCCAAGGTCCCTTCTTTTATTGGACATCCCCCTGGGTGCTGGGGGACGCTCAGCTGGGGGCGGTACCTCAAGGTCCCTGCTTATCTCCGTCCTGGGCTCCACCTGCCCTGAGGAGGCTGCAGCAACTTGGCATCTGCACCCTCCCCCTTGGGATTTCTGAGTCTGGCTGGGATTAGAATGGAACCTCTCATTAACCCTCCCATTCAGGAAATATGTGAAACCCTGTCCATCAGAGGTTCCCTAAGAGCAGGTTTGCTGGAGCACAGAGCTGTGCCTGGAGCCACACTTGTAGGTAGATGCTGCAGGGAGGGCCAGAGCTGTTTGGTCTCAGCCTTACAGGCTTACCCATAGTGCTGTGAGCTTCGGGAGGCCTCCCTTGCCCCCTCGACATATCTTCCATCTATCACCATGGCTAGGAAGTTTGCCTTTGATGCCACGTGCTTTCCAGGGGAACTCTAGAGGGTCTGTAAATTGCAAACACCCTCGGCAAGCATCTTGAAAGGAGCTGCTGCACTTCTGGGGACATCTGTGTCTCTGGGAGCGTCAAAGCCATGTGATGGGGTAGAGTATGGAACAAGGAATAACTTAAGAGTAAAGGAGGGAGGGAGGGAGGGAGAGAGAGACAGAAAATGAACTCCAACACCACGGGACATCCCTGGCCACTGTGTCTACTGGGACCTAGTTCTTCAATCAGGAATCTGGAAGTTTTGTCCCTGTGGATGAGGGGGCGGGCCACACAGTGGGACTAGGATTGAGTGAGCTTGCTGGGCACGTAGTTTTGAGTGGTTTTCAAGTGTGCCTGTCTGTATGTCTTAAAGTAGACAGACTGGATAACCAAGATAATTGTAAACTTAAAAGCATTAATTTGCTTTGCTTTTTTTGAGGGGTGGGGGTGGGGTAGAGGTGGGAGGGCAGCCATGGTTAAAAAGACCTAATCCTCACTTAGGGCTCAGGTTGCAGCTGAATGAAAGGGTCTCAGGGCCTCCAGGGGAACTGGTCCTGTCCCCAGGCCGGCTCTGGGACAGCCAGCTTGGCCATTTAGTTTACTTGGTAGTTTTCTTTCCTTGCTGGGGATAGAGTTTTGAGAAAGTCACCCATTTAGAAATCACGGCAGCCCTGAGACTGAGAGCGTTCATCTGGCGGCGAACAGTGTCTCTCTGTCTCTGGGTCTCTGTCTGGGTGTATGTGTCTCTTTCCTTTCCCCACCCCTCTTCCTCTTTAATGTGGCTGTTTCCTCTCCTCCCTGCTTCCCTCGGCTCCTGTGGCCAGCGCCTACAGTGAGGGGACTGTTCCTCCTAGCCCCTCCCTCCCAAATATGAAATGAAAACCATAACCGTGTCAGCCGCTGAGGTTGGCTCCTCAGGCAGCAGCTACCGCTTGTGCCCCATCAAGGCCCTACTGGAGAGAGCAGACAGACAGACAGACCCCACTCTTCGATCCTGCTGTTCTATCAGTTTCCCTAAGCTCATCCCCATTTTTACAGAGTCCTCAGAGATGCCTTTGACCTCTTCCCGTGGCCCGCTGGTGGTGTGTTATAGGTGGGGGAGCCCCGTCTCCACCCACCACCCCTCATGCCCCCACCCCAGTCTCTGTAGGGTGGGATGGGAGAGAGGGGACTACGGAGACCTAGGAGCCACAGCCACTACAGGTAGAGAGAGAGCAAGAGGAGAGGAATCAGGAGCCCTCCAGATGAGACTGCTTTCTGGAACCTTCTGGGATCTGAGAACATGAGAACCGGTTTGAGATGTGAGCGGCTAGGGCCTGTTGTTGTAAATGGAGGCAGGCGGAGTGTGAGTTTGGGAATGTGAGGTGTGCAGTCACTGGGGTGTGTGAACATGCATGTGCATGACTCTGTGTGTGTGTGAGCACATGTGTGTGGCGCTCTGGCGAGGGGGAGGAAGCGGGCAATGTGCGTTTTGTTTTAGTTGGAGAAGGAAGGTTGGATGGCTTGGTCCGGTGCCTTGAACTGCGGGTGGGGGAGGGGAGTGCATGGCTTCAGATCTCTGGAGAAGATGGAGGTGGAGGAACTTGCTGCCAGAACCCACCCTGGTCTCTGCCGTCTGCGTCGGCGTGCGGGTGTGGGCCTCTGTACCCCTAGCACATGACCACTCAGTAAGAAAGAGTTCCTGTCAGGGCTGGAAACTGCGGAGCTGCCGCTCTGAGGCTGGCAGTGCTCACGGGAGGCCCAGACCTGGGGAGACAGGAGTCTGGGAAGGAGTGGACTGCTGGAGCTGAGCAGAGGTGAAAACAACCCACGGGTGTTTGGAGGGATGAATGGGCTACTCACCTGGGCGAAGAGGGGACATTGACTCTCTGTCTGGACCGGCAACTCTCTTCCCTGCCAGCCTGCGTTCTCCTGACTCAGGTGGAGTCAGGGTGGAACCCAGGCCTGAGGGAGTTTTAACAAATGCAGAGCCTGGTGGCCGGGAGCTCTGGGGTGCTGCCCTTTTGACTGAACTCATCCATGTTGGTGAGCCTCAGTCACGCGGCCTCGCCCGCCCTGGTCCTTCCCCTAAGGGCCAGGCCCTCTCCACCTGGACTCTGTTCCCTTCTGCCTGCTGGAAGCCTGGTCACTCGGGACTTTCCCGTTCTTCTCTCACCTCAGTTTCCCAAGTGTGATAGTCCTGTGTCGAGTGAGAAGCTAGCCTAGGAAGCAGCCCTAGGAGTACTCGTGCATGTTTCTGTGTACGTACACACGTGGTGCCCAAGACTGAACCCTGTATCTTCCCCCGCCTGCCCTCCTCAGACCAAGGGCTTGCTCTGGAGTTGGAGCTGGATGCTGCAGTTGGGTTTCAGAAGTGGGACAATGGCCCCCTCAACAGGGCACTGGGGACCTTGGTTTGCCAATGGTTTCACCCTGTGACAAGCCATGGCCCCAGAGAGCTGTGGGCTTTGAATTTCAGAGCTTTGTGCCCAGGACTGTCTGGTTGTGGTTACCGACAGTGGCAAACTGAGGACATGACTGCTGACCCACAGAAGATGCAGGATGAGGAAACAGGCCTAAGGAATCCCTGGGCGAGGTACAGCATCAGGCCATGTGGGCTTCGGGGAGGGTTGAGGGAGGGTGGCATGGTAAAGGGTAGACCCTGGGGGGCAGGTTTAGAGAGAGGACGTTTTTTACAAGTTTCTAATTATATTTATTTGGAGTTTTCCTCTGGCGGTTGGGAGCTGTTAACAGCAGGAACCTGTACCCTGGGGTTTGTTTTCCTTTCTAACCAGCTGCTTGGCCCCAGAGCAGTGAATCCCAAGGCTGGCAACACCTGCCCACCACTGCGCCCGCCCACCCTCTCCTCGCCCGTGTGTCTGCCCGCTGCCTGTCTACCCTGGTCTCCTCTTCTGCCTCGGAG